CGGCCAGTCCATTAAGAATGGCCTCTTTAATAAACTTTTCTAAGACCTTCCCTGGGATAGAGGTCAGGCTGATGGGCCTATAGTTTGCCGGATGCACTTTCCTCCCTTTCTTGAAGATAGGCACCACACTGGCCTTCTTCCAATCTTCAGGCACTTCACCAGAGCACCAGGAGTTCTCAAAGATCCGTGCCAGAGGCTGGGCATATTGTACTTCCTTTCCTGCATGGCTAACAATGATGCAGTATGTACAATCAAAATTTACAGACCCTTGGCTTTAGTAAAATGAAGCAGAAAAAGAGGTATGAGCAATGACCACTTCTGAGAAGTGCATACTTGATTCTAACTCTGAGTGTGAAAAACAAAAGTTTCTGTTCAGAGGCTAGGAAAAGTTAATATTTGGCAGGCAGGAATTACAAAAGGAAATGTGTCATGACAGGAAGACCCTGGCCTTCCCTATGTTTGAAATATGGGGAAAATTTGCACCATGCACTTGATATAAGTGGTAGAGCTATTACTTCCTCACTGGATGAATGTATGACATTAAGCACATAAAGAAGTGCAGTTTTGCATGCATCACTTTGCAAGTAGATACAAAGATATTCTTACTGTTCCAGGCATATGACCTTTTTCTTGTTTGCCATTTTGAGGGCTACCATTTTTCAGCTTCTTTTTCTTCTTCACCGATTCCTTGTGCTCTCTCTGTTTGTTTTGTACTTCAATGAGAACAGAAATAAAACTATTTTTCACTTCTTTCTCAAACTCCAGCTCATCTCGTAGAGCCAACTGCTGTACGAGCTCCTCAGAATAATCCTTAATGGCAGTCTCAATTTCTTCGAGCAGTTCATTTAATTCAGCAACAGACAGTCGTTTTACTCCTATTGAAAAAGAATTAAAATAGGAAATGAAAAGTAGTCTTGCATAATACCTAAAAAGTCATCCGTCAAACTTTAGGCATATGAAAATAACTAATAAAAGAATTGGTAAGTCATTGTAGGTAGTTACACTTTCAAATCCAAAAAACCCTTCATTTTTAAACTACAGAAAAGAAAATATGTTGTGTTATTCGGAATATCAAAGTACACCATGATTTTTTTAGGTTCTTGGAATACAGAACTGAAGAAATAGCCACAACATTTATAAAGAGTAAAAAATAATCTGCAAATTCTAGGGAGACAGCTGTCTCTAAGAAAAGCACAGTAAGGCCTCTGCCCAAGAGCAGCGCTCTCGATACTGACAATTGTGTTAACTATGAGCTTGTGCCTAAGATTTGCAAGGGAAGAAGGGGAAAATCATTAAAAAGATTATGGTAGAACAACCCTAGTCATTTCTGGAGTCCTCAGATTGCAGGCCTGTTATGATGAAGAAATTATATAAGTTCTCCTGGTTGATACAATTCTCCCTAATTACTGGTATTGAGAACATGTCTGTGCAGATTATTTTAAGACTGGGAAAAGTGTTTGTTACCAGTGAACAAGGTTTTGTTAGGTTTGCAGATGTCAAAAGTAGATGGTGTCATTTAACTGTTTGCTTCCTGAAGGGAGGTTTTAGAAAGTAGTTTTGGGCAATTACCCATCTACTTTGAAGGACTTTCTCTAAAGGGGAGTACAAATTTCCTTTACAATTCCCTCCAGTGTGAATCCCTGGTCATTTAGTAGTTAGTAAAAAAACAGGATATGGCATATTAAATAAGACTACTACACACACCAACATTTGGCTTTTCTGTTTGGTCTATTGTGGCAGAATGTATGACCATGTATTTTTTTAAATGAGGGACTGAATAAAGATTACCTAACTGACACATTCAACCGAGACAAAAAAAAAGAAGCCAAAGAAAGCATACACGAGAAAGTGATTCACAACATAACAGCTTTTATCTAAGAAGTTTGATATTAGATTCTGAGTGGCCTAGATTGTAAGTGTGGCAAAAAAGAATTAACAGAAGTGTTCAAACTAGAGCTTGTGCACACTTTATAAGCAAGGATGGCAATGAAAGGATGTTTTTATGGGCTGCTTTCAGCCCCTGAATTTACTTACCTTAAGATCCCTCAACTTCATAGAATTGGGCTTTCTTAGCTACCTACATGTACCACAAAGCCCATCTTTTAAACTGGCATTTGGGGGCTGGGTAGGCTAAAAGGCTAGTGAAATAAAGAGGAGAGGTTACTTTAAGCTTGGTGCACCCCTGTGTGAGCGCAGCTCATGCCCAGAAGAGGCAATGCATTAAGTTTGACCCGGCTTGCCCAAGGTCTGTACAACTCATACACTTCATTTTGGCTTTTTGGTGTTTTTATCTAATAGCTGATTCAATTCAATTATATAATAGCTGTATTTAACAGCTGATTCAATCAACTATTAGATAAAAGTGCAAAAAAGCTCCACTGAAGTACATGATCTACACAGATGTTGGAAGAGCCAGGTTACACTAATGCAATGCCTCTTCCTGGCATATGCTGTGCTCACACAGGGGCACACCAAACTTAAGAAGTAAAGTGTTGTTTGTTTGTTTTTTTCACTTCTGTAAACAGCCCACATGCACATCTTTTAACTCTTCTCTTTAACTAGCCTTTTAGCCTACCCATCTAGACTGAATTAGCTATTAGATAAAAGTGCCAAAAAGCCTTGCTGAAGCACATGGTCTATACAGACACTGGGGAGCTGGGTTGAACTAATGCCCTTCCTCTTCTGGAAAGCACTGTTTTGTTTTTTCCCCACATCTGTTAGCAGCCATGTCCTTAATGAAATGGGTATCACTGTATAAAACGAGGGCCAGTTAATACTGTAGATTCTGTTATAAAGTTATTTTAAAGTAGACAGAGTATTAAGAACTATGGATAGATACTGAAAAATGCAATTAGGCTTATAAGGAGAATGTAATAACTCCCACAAGTAGAAGAAAGTAGAGTGAAAATGTGACTTCATTTCTTAAGTCACCTAAGTAGACAATTTTATTGGAACTAGAATTTCTTTATTCCTTTGCTAACAGGGAAGCATCAGCAACAGAGTAGGTATATTTTCCACACTGGCAAGGAACCAGAGGGTAACATTCAAGTCCTCAGAGTAGATTAAGCGTAAAACTAGTTTGGAAAGCTTGCAGCAACATAGGTAGCCTAAAGCTATTCAAAGCTTTAAACCTATTTAAATTTCCCATTTAAAGCTGTTTGGAATATTTTAATCATTCTAAATATTTGGCATGTCGCCTGCAGCCCCTTGCAGCACAGCTTCTTGTTTATGATGTGGTCTTTTAGTGCCTGAAAAATTGTTGCTTCAGTATATCCAATTGTTGAAGTAAAAAATCAATGCTGCCTTGGTCAAATCCTATGGATGACATAAATGGCAACAAGGAGATAATAAAGTTCTGCGACACACTGTTTTAGTGCTATGCCCAATATATGCAGTAAAACAGGTTTTTGTAATTCACAAAACTCATTATACTGTATGTACTATAATTCTGATACAAATATATATATTAGTTTTTTTCCCTGTTGCTTAACTTCTATTTCTGTTTCACCATTTTCTAAGTTCCCTTCTAGGCTAAGTACAGACAGTCAAAAAGTCTGAGGCTGAATCAATTCAGTCTTTGCAGGTTAGTCTAAGCTGTAGAAATTAAACTGAGAAACAAGTGAACAGACGTTCGCTATTGATTCAGGAAATGCAGCCTACAGTGGCTCAGGCCAGAAGCCAGGGAGGGGTGCCAGAGCACGCCTCCCAGCCTGTCAGCCACTGCCAAAGGAGAGGGACTGAAGCTCCAAGACTTTTCCCCACTCCCTGCTCAAGCAGAGGGGGCATGGCCAGGCCCCAGCCCTGGGCTAGCACCTGGAGGATGGAGGGTTTACATCCCCTCCCTGGCTGGGTCTGCCTAGGTGGGGCGCAGTGCCTGCCAGGCTTCTGCCCCGCTGCTGCTTGTGGGAGGGTAGCCCCTGCCAAACCGAGGAGGGTGTGGGAAAAAGGCAGTCGCACTGAATTCATTAAAGCTTGAACAAGAATAGTCCTCTCTCTGAAGTGAGCATGTACTGAACAAAGCAATTTGCAACCTCAAGCACATAACAAAGAACCAAAAATCTTCACTCATTAAAATACAGCCCAATAAAACACAGCGAGAGCACACATAACTTAGTCTAACTTAAAAAGGAATGTAATAAACCAAAAAGACAAGAGAGAGCCTTGTGTACGTCTTATGCAATCCCGAGGGCAGAATGTCTCCTTAGAGCCAGGTATTCAGGAAGTCCTTCTTGGGGAATCAGTATGTGGTCTTAGGTGTTCGAGGGGAGATCCCACAGGCCCCATTTCTATTTGGGCTTTTGTAGGTACACTTCTCCCTCGAGTGCCTTGACATTAGTATGTTTGTCACCTATATCACCTTTGGCAGGTTTCTCATGCATTCAGTGTCTTGCATATCTTCTTAGGTACTCCAGTCTCACACCTTTTACAGGTTCTGCTTTATAATGTAAATGTAGCTCTCTGCTTTCTTTGTTCACACCAGCCCAAGCAGTCTGGGACCCTCTCCTGTTCTCTTAGCTCTGCTTCCAGTACATACATGTGATGATTGTGCCAGATCTTTGCCAACACTTCCCCACCTCTCAGTTTGGTCCTGCAGGGCTGGGCCCTGTGCTCACAGGTGGCAGGCAACCTCCAGCCCTGGTTCCCCAGCCTCTTCCCCCTCCCCCATGGCCTGGGAAAGCTGAGGAGAATTAAACCCTCTCCCTTGATCAACTACTTGCCTGACTCAGTCTCTGCCAGAGGTAGAATGGGATGGAGACTGCTGGTCTCCTGCCAGCCCCCTATCTGCCAGCAGTCCCTCTCAGGCTGTTACCCTCTCCCTGCCCCAGCTTCAAAGGGAATAGTTTGGCAGGATCTACCCCTCCCCACCCCCCACGCAGACCCAGCTGCCGTCCCCAGCCAGGTTTCACCCCTACCTCCTTATCAGGCAGCCCTCACGGCTCCAGCTAGAGAGCAGAGGGGCAGGGCCAACCCTGCTCTCTGGAGCAGACAACACAGCCCAGCCCAGGGCTCTAATTTAAACTTGAACAAGGAAGTGGTCTGGATAAGAAGTTTCATAAACCAGTTTGACCTAAATCAGTTAAATCTGATACTACATTCAACCAGGTTTATCTTAAGCCAGTTTCAGCTGTTTTGAAACTGGTTTATGTGCACTGCGCTTCTGTTCTGTTATAGATTTAAACCAGTTTTTGATCACTTAAACCAGTTTGTGTGTAACTTCTGTCCCTAGCCCTAGTCTTCTTGTAGGAATCAAGTACTGCAGTATTAGGACAACAGTTATCCAAAACAGACACACTATAACTATTTAGTTCTGAAAGGCAAGATGAGATTTGTTGAGTAAAGGAGATCCTGGGCCAATCAAGACCAGAGAAGGGTAATGTAACAGCATTCCTGATATGTGCTTGGTATTTCTAATGCTGGAAGCTACTGGCCTCCTGCATCTAAAAACTGAGTAATCTTTGGAGGACATCTGAATGTTTTCACACATCTATTCCTAGCTCAGGAGGGAAGAAATAATTCCCCCCATCCCTTATAATAGGCAGAAGGCAGCTGGGGGCACTCATGAGTCTATGGCCAGGTATAGTTATTACACATAAACAAGAAACTACCAAATGCATGATTTCATTGCCAATTACACAATTTCCGTCTCCCATGAAATAGCCTGTTCCCCATGAAAAAGCGTAAGGAACCAGCTATATTAAAAAAAGTTGTCTCCTCAAAGGGTAGGGGGAGGGTGAAAGGAGCAAAGAAGAAAAAAAGGCAGACTGCCCATCTCCTGAAGCTGGGGGGAGGGTGGGGGAGAGAAAAAGTCCCCGTCTCTGTCTCCAGAAGGTAAGGGGGAGAGGAGGGGAGCAGGGAAAAGTTGGT